GAAAACATCTTTGTTCAGTTTCAAGGCTCCTTCAGCTTGTCCTTAACTCAGAAGTGCACTCTCTCAGTTTTTTCAGTGAAATCATGCTACCAGTATTACATCTGTGTCTCTGCCTAGTACTTCTTGCTGCCTCTCTCAGCTTTTCTGGTCCCTTCTGCTTTTCTTTCACTGACATACAAGCCCTAATAAAACAATACCCATGATTATCATCTACCCGCATGCGACTTGCCATGTGTCTTTGTTTTGTGTAGAGATATGTGTCTGTCTGGAATGGATGCTACTGTTGTTTTAGCATCTGGTTCCATAAATACTGTACCCCACAGTTACAGGTACTTACAGCTACCATAAGTGGTTATGCCTAACCCATGCTGCTGATCACAGCCAACCCATTGCAGACAGAAAAGAAAAGGAAAAAATTAAAAAAACAAAAAAACAAAAACAAAACAAAAAAAAACACGGCAAAAAAGGCATAGGATACACTTTTCTACAAGAGGTAGCAAGCTAAACCTTGAGACTATCGTTTCTTAAGACTGTGGGGGTATGCTCAGGTGGCATAGGTTTTGTAGATTCCCAGAGTCTCAAAAAGCCTACTGAAACACTGGGTTTAAGGTTTTCCCCTCGACTTGCATATAAACACATTTATGACTTCAAATCCAGTGAATGATTTCTGTAACCAGAACATATGTTCCTGTTGCATTATCCTGGTTTCCTACTAGAGGCACTTCAGGAGTTTGTGAAATGGTTCATTGTTAGCAAGTATGGATTACTGGTTTTAGGAAAAACAAAGGGCTGCATTAGGGCCTCAATAAAATACTCTTTTATACAGGGGTTAGAAGGGACTTTCTTTACAACACAAAAGAAATTTCCTGTCTGCATTTCATTTCAACAACAACAACAAAATGCTCTCCTGTGCAAGATACAGTTTTTACAACACTAAAGGTGTCAAGCATTTTTAAAATTCGTGGCACTGCACAACCTCCATTTTTTCAGTGTATTTGGTACATACCTACACAAGAATTTCATATAAACTTCAAACTTTGTCACAACAATCGGGAAGCTTTTATGATGGCATTTTGAAAGCATACTGCAGTCAAAGGGCATACTGACAACTGAATTTCAGCAAACTTTTGTTACTTTGGAGTCCACTCATAACACTTCATCTACTGTCTGTGGGCATGTATCAGGAATACCTTCCCGCAAATTATGGAGAACACGGCCATATCTTTTGGAGCACGTGTATTCCTTCAAGCAGTCAATTCCTTGGACTACTGCTTAAGGTGGTATTTATGATTAGTCTTTCAAAAGCCCATCTGCAAAAGGCCTCACACCTTTACCATTCTTATAGCCAGGCCTTCATGTAATTTAAATCATAGCACTTCAATTTTTCCTCCCAACCACCTGGCAAGTTTTCCCTCAGGATTCCTGAGTCTAAAGAGCCACTACAGGGATGCAATGCCTGCCTTGACTACAAATTTCCTTCCATGCAGTGGTAAAAATGTTCTATAGATTTAACCGCTGCCAGGAGTTCCTTTTGGATGGTACAATCATTTCTCTCCAGAAGACTTTTGCTGCAAAAGCCACCTCCTCCTTAAGGCCTGTATGTTAGTGTGTCAATAACAGCTCCAAACTGCAAGCACTTGCATCTGTGTCCATTATGAAAGGGGTTTTGAAACACAGGTAGGCTAAAACAGGAGCAGTCACAAGAGTCTGAAAAAGCTGCATATCACACTCTGCTGACACCTGAAATGGTTGCCCTCTCACCCAAGCCATGCAATAGTTTTGCAATACTGACAACCCACAAACTTCCTATAGTAGGAGGAGAGTCCTAAAAAAGGCTGCACCTGAGTGGCTAGGGAGTTGGCCAATTCTGCACAGCTCAAATTTACTTTTTGTCCGTGGAAATTCCCTTGTCACCTTTGTGCACCTGAAATAAATTACCATATTCAGGAGCTTGCATTTTGGGGGATTCAAATTCAGTTTGGTAGCCTTAAGATTAAATGTATTGGTTTTTGTTCAAAGGTTGTACCATGCAACAGGATATCATCTAGGCATAATGAATAGGCCAAGACAGTCATACAATTCAACACTGTCTACCCCTGGCCTCAATATGGCAGGTGAAATGCACAAGCCAAAAATCAATCACTTCAAACTGCCACAGCTTGGTCCTACAGTAAGACAGTCCCCAACTCCCCCGACTTCTAATCTACTTCCCAGGGGTCACACTTAAGTTCCAGACTTCACCTGCTACAGCATCCCATGTTATGAATAAGAATTCTTTAAAGAAGTGACTTAAATTTAGGCTCAGTCTACACTAATGTTTTGTCAGCATATCTGTATGGGCTAGGGAGTATAAAGATCCATGGTGTGAAGACAGTTATGCTATCAAACGAGTGCTTTAGTTCGTTTAGGTGATGTCATTTAGGATATAAAGAAGGAAAAGAATGTGTAGCTAACACTGGCAGAAACACGTCAAGATCTGCACATGCTGTGCCTAACTACAGCAGAGGTGTCTCTGTCAACATAGACATGCCAGCACAGCTACAGCAGTGCAGGCAAGCCTTTCCCTAATTATAATCCACAAAGAATCTGATGCTGCTATGTTTTCCATAGGCAGGACTACAGGTGAGGCACAATCCACTAAAACCTCTGGTAGCTCAACTTGACTAACTCCCCTTGTAATTTTGATACCAGCCTTTACTTTATCTTCTGGATCACATTTTACAGCCATGGTTTCTTTTCTAACTATCCCTTGCCTATCAGAAACATTCAACAGATGAATAGGGATCTATTCTTGCTTCGGGTCCAGAAAAGCTTTGGCACCTAGCATTCCCCTAAGATCCTAGATCTCAAAAAAGTTATAATTATTTACCATCTTTCTTTACAGGAAAGTTACTATAATATAACTACTAAAATGGTTTCCGTCTTTGGAGGCAGAACAATTTGTTCACTGCAAACCACACAAATTTCTTTAGAGGGAATTTCCACAGACTGAATTTGTTTGACAGCACTCCTGCTCAATTTGAATTAAATTAAATTAAACCCATTTATTTGTTCATTCACCAGCTTGGTTACTCACATTCCAGAGATCCAATTTCAAACCCAGTTTTTGGAAGCATGCGCATTCCTCAGACACCATCCCCATTTCAAACCAATTAATTAGTCCAAATTTGTATTCCCTATTCTCTAGCCTTTTTAGTATGCCTGGTTTAATAACTTAAGTTAGAACTAGCCTATCTACCATTCCT